AGGACTCACACATACACACACACACAGTACTCACACATACACACACTGTACTCACACATACACACACACACACCGTACACACACATGCACACACCCTGTACACACACACACACACACATACACACCCCGTACACACACACACATACACACACCCTGTACACACACACACACAAAACCCATACACACACACATGCACATACCCCGTACTCACACACACAGACACACAGACACACACACACACAGTACTCACACACACACACAGTACTCACACATACACACACACACAGTATTCACACACACACACACAGTACTCACACTTACACACACACACACAGTACTCACACACACACACACACAGTACTCACACTTACACACACACACACAGTACTCACACATACACACAGTACTCACACACACACACACACTGTACTCACACACACACACAGTACTCACACACATACACAGTACTCACACACACACACAGTACTCACACATACACACACACACAGTATTCACACACACACACACAGTACTCACACATACACACACACAGTACTCACACTCACACATTGTACTCACACATACACACAGTACTCACACATACACACACACAGTACTCACACTTACACACACACACACAGTACTCACACATACACACAGTACTCACACATACACACACACACACACACAGTACTCACACAAAACCACCCACACACACACACACACACACACAGTCCTCACACACACACACACACACACACACACACACACACACACAGTCCCAGCACCACAGCTGGTTCCACTGCCGGCCCACGAGCTATTTTGGACAGAGTCCACTCCTCCCACCTCCTCGCCGCCGCTAGCGCGGGCTCCGGGCTCCAGTGGGGTCCCTAAGGTCCCAGTGGGGATCACAAGCAAACCTGGGGACCCGGAGCAAGGCTGGGGGCGGCCAGATTCCGGCGGCACAGCGTGGAGGCGGGTCCTCGGGAGTGGGGCGGACCCGGGGCCCCGCGCTGGCCCCGCGTCCACAGCTCCTGGTGGCCCACGCACTGCCCCGCGCCACCCCCCGGACCCAGACTCACCCACCGGACGCCGAGGCTCTGGGTCTTCCGAAGCGGCCCGAGCCGAGTCCGCAGGAATCTCAGGGGCGGAGTGGGCAGGGCGTGGGCGGGGCCTAGCGTGCACGTGACCCGCGTGGGCGGGGCCGAGCCGGAACCGCTTCCCGCAGCGGGCGCCGCCATGCGCGCCCGGGGACTGTCCTGCTGCGCGGTGCTGCTGGTCCTGGGACTCTGCTGCGTGCATTCGCGCAACGTGCTGCTGATGGTTGGTGAGTGCCGCCGTCCCCGGCACCCCTCATGCTGCGGGATCCACACGAAGTGTGTCAGGCCCTCCCGCTTCTGCCCTGCCCGGTCTGGCCCAGCACTCCTACATTTGTCGTCAGAGCAACAGGGGAACCCGTGGGCCCCAGCTCCTTACGCGGAGCTAGGGGGTTCACTGACCCCTGAGAAACTTCCAAAAGAAAGACTGGCGTCCGTCCGAGTCCCAGAGTCCTTGCAGGATGTCCCAGCTCAGCCCCCACCCCACCCCTGCTGGCCCAAAGGTGCAGCCCTCCACGGCCCGCCCAAACTCCCTCAGCCCCTCTTAGAAACCTCAAATCCCTCCAGCATCCTCGAGACTTCCTGTTTGGACAACTCAGTCCTTCTGAGGTCTGGCCCGGGGCCAGGCCCACACTTTCTGATAAACTCGTGGTGTCAGGGCAGGCCAGTTGGGTAATTGTAACATAAACAGTGCTGTGTCAGCACCACTACGGGGCACCAATGAAGATCTGTCCAGGGTGCACAGGGGTGCTGCAGCCTTCTGGAGCCCAGTCTGTGTAGCTCCGGAGGCTTAGATATAGCTATAACAACACAAACCTCCAGACTCGGGGCTGGAGAGATGGCTCAGTGGTTAAGAGGACTGGCTGCTCTTGCAGAGAACCCAGGTTCAAGATCCAGCACCCCAGCTGTCTGTGACTCCAGTTCTGAGGCAGCTGACACCTCTTTTGGTGTCTGTGGGCACACGTGTACACATCAGGCTTCAGTGCCTCCTGGAGGGTGCAGGGGAAGCAGTGGGCTTCGGGACTGTAGCCCCTGCAGAAAGGCAGCAGTGTGGTTGGCAGCTGTGCCCTGGGCCTGGCTCTCCTGCTGGCTGTCATCTTGTGAGGTGTCTGCAGAGCCCAGGGTAGTTCAGTAGCCTGCACTGGTTGCACCAGGCCAACACCCACTAACATGGCGGCATGGACACCCAGTTTGTTGGGGTGTCGTGCTCCCACACTAGCCTGCCTGTTAGCGTTCCCCCCAGTGCTGTGAATTGTTGGGGTGTTGTGCTCCCACACTAGCCTGCCTGTTAGCGTTCCCCCCAGTGCTGTGAATTGTTGGGGTGTCATGCTCCCACACTAGCCTGCCTGTTAGCGTTCCCCCGAGCGCTGTGAATTGTTGGGGTGTTGTGCTCCCACACTAGCCTGCCTGTTAGCATGCCCCCCCCCCCAGCGCTGTGAATTGGGCTCCATGTTGTCTCTCCGCTGACGCAGGAGGGATCTTGCCTGCCTGTGTGCGCTCTGCTTGCTCACAAACCCCTGTATCACCACGCCTCACACGCCTCACACTCCGGTGTCCCGCCTTCTGGAGCGGCTTGCTCTCCTGAGCATCCCAAGGCCAAGCCTTTGCAGCAGTGCCCTGGGTCCCCCACACTACCCCTCCTGACCCCAGCCAACGTGCTCTCTGCTCCGTGCTCCTCAGCGGATGATGGAGGCTTTGAGAGCGGTGCGTACAACAACAGTGCCATCACCACCCCTCACTTGGATGCCCTGGCCCGCCGAAGCCTCATCTTCCGGAATGCCTTCTCCTCTGTCAGCAGCTGCTCCCCCAGCCGCGCCAGCCTCCTCACCGGCCTGCCCCAGGTGACAGTGGCGGGTGGGACGGAGGAAGGGAGGGGTGGGTGGGTGACTGTAGGACCCAGGCCTCTGCCGCAGGAAAACCCCCTCTCTCCCCGAGGTGCTGCCTGGTTTCCTTTGCATCCTTAGGGGCAGGTACAGCCCAGAGCTCTCAGGTGTGGACCAGGGCTCAGCCTCATCACCGTCAACTCAGGTGGCTGTGCCGCTCTGTGGCCGTGAGCAGGTTTTGTACCTCTCTGTGCCTCAGTGTCCTCATCTGTGACATGGAGGGCACAGTGAGATGTCACTCACAGGTCATTCTGGGGGTTGGCCAAGCATGGCTTTGTGGGTATGGTGCTTAGCCCAGAATCTGCATAACTGGGCTCTGCGCTCAGGTCTGTGGTAAGTCAGGCAATCCCACAAGATGTTAAGACACTTCCTTTTTTGTTGTTGTTATGGTAAAGTACATAAAACACAGGATTTGCCATCTCGACAGTTTTTCCCTGCGTGGTCAGTGGTGTGAAACACGATTGATCACATGGCGGCCGCCATCCCCACCACCCACCTCTAGAACTTGCTCTGATTGGTACTCTGTCCTCATTACATACTAGTGGCTCGTTCCTGCCAGACCCCACTGCACTGTCTCTGAGTCTGATGACTCCAGGGCCCCCTGCAAGTGGACTCACTGCTGTTCACCTTTTGTGACTGTCTGTGACGCTGAGCTTAGCATATCTGAGGGCCCTGCTCTTTGTATCCCATGTCAGAATTTAATTCTTTCTCAAGCAAGGTCTTTGTTGGTTTTGTTTTATTTTTTGTTTTTTTTCGAGACAGGGTTTCTCTGTGGCTTGAGAGGCTATCCTGGAACTCACTCTTGTAGACCAGGCTGGTCTCGAACTCACAGAGATCTTCCTGCCTCTGCCTCCCGAGTACCGGATTAAAGGCGTGCGCCACCAACGCCCGGCTTCTCAAGGTCTTTGTTTTAAACTCCTGTGATCCAGCACTTGGGAGGCAGAGGCAGGAGGGTCTCTGAATACACAGCCAGCCTGGTCTACAAAACGGGTTCCAGGACAGTTGGGTACATACTGTGTCAATCATATTTCTGTTCTAAAGTTTTAAATTACATTTTTAAATTTATCTTGTGTGAGCAAGTGGCGTGGAACACACCATGCACACCGCCAGAGTTTCTAGAGTTTCTAGAGTTTCTAGAGGCCAGAGACAGCTTGTGGGAGTGGGTTCTCTCCTCCACTCTGTGGGTCTCCAGAGAGAGAGACAGCGTGTGGAGTGGGTTCTCTCCTCCACTGTGTGGGTCTCCAGAGACAGCGTGTGGAGTGGGTTCTCTCCTCCACTCTGTGGGTCTCCAGAGACAGCATGTGGGAGTGGGTTCTCTCCTTCACTCTGTGGGTCTCAGGGATGGAACTCAGGTCATCATTAGGCTTTTCCACCTAAGCCATCTTGCACCACCCCCAACCTTTTCCAGACAGGGTCTAGACCCAGACTTGCCTCAAACTCAGTGTGCAGCTGGGGTACATACTCCCTGGTTCCTTTCCTCTCTGCTGGTGTCCCCTGTCGCAGGAGGGAGAAGAACAGGGTGGAGTTCTCCTCAGGCCAGCCTCCTGAGGCTCCTGGGATGGGCTGTGGGTACAGAGCCCAGGCTTATGGCGTCTGGCGTCTGTCTGCAGCACCAGAATGGCATGTACGGGCTGCACCAGGGTGTGCATCACTTCAACGCCTTCGACAAGGTGCAGAGCCTCCCGCTGCTGCTCAGCCAGGCTGGAGTGCGCACAGGTGAGTCGGGGCCTGAGGACGGGATACAGGTGCAAGGCCACTTTGTGACCCTCTCTAGCCTCTTAGAGAGGCATGGTCAGGGCTCTGAGTCACCCTCAGAATCAGGCCCGCGTCTGCACACTGCCCATCTGCAGCAGCCACACTCTCAGGGCTTGGGCAGGATCAGGGGGCAGAGTGGACTCTGGACAGACATCTCTCTTGTCCTCCCTCAGGCATTATCGGAAAGAAGCACGTGGGTCCAGAGACCGTGTACCCCTTTGACTTTGCGTTCACAGAGGAGAACAGCTCTGTGCTGCAGGTGGGACGGAACATCACTAGGATTAAGGAACTAGTCCGGAAATTTCTGCAGACTCAGGATGACAGGTACAGAGGGCTCTGGGGAGGCCGGAGCTCTCAAGAGTGGGTGTGGGCTCTCATCCCAGGGTCCACAGTTGGCTGTGGCAGGGGCAGAGGAAAACATTCTAAATACCCAGAAGAGGCGGAGGAGGGAGACTGAGGCAGGCAGGAGTCAGCCAAGCCCAAGTGTGCCTTCCTAAGAATTGGGGCTCTTAGGGTCAAGACAGTGGCCTGGCCTTGACCCCTCACTGACCCCCTCCCCCACATTCAGGCCTTTCTTCCTTTACGTGGCTTTCCATGACCCCCACCGCTGTGGGCACTCCCAGCCCCAGTATGGAACCTTTTGTGAGAAGTTTGGCAATGGAGAGAGTGGCATGGGGCGCATTCCAGACTGGACACCCCAGACCTACGACCCTCAGGATGTGATGGTAGGAGGGGCCCTTGCTTCCAAGACACAGCCCATGCTCCCCAAATCCAAGGCCCCGCCCTCCTCCCAGCCGGCAGCCCTTGCCCCAGGGATATGGTATAATGTGTCTAAGGAGACTTGACTCAGTGGGCTCCAGGTCCTTCTGTGTGGGGTGCAGAGAGAACCTGGGACCCCGGAGATGATGTGGTGGATACGCATGTGATAAAGCGGTGTCCATTCCTGGCAGAGTTGGCGGGAGGGCACTGTACCCTGTTCTCTACCCAATCAAAACTGTTCCTGTCCCCCCATTCAGTCTCATCTTCTTTCCACCTGCCTTCCTCCTCAGGTGCCGTACTTTGTCCCAGACACACCGGCAGCCCGAGCAGACCTCGCCGCCCAGTACACAACCATCGGCCGGATGGACCAAGGTGGGTTCCAGTGGCTGGGGCTGTCTCTCTCATCACAAGCCCTGGAACTCTCAATCAGGCTGGACTCAACATGTGTGTCCCAGCAGCAACTAGTGTGAGCCAGGGTTGGTGTTGAAGGCGTGAGTCTTAGCTTCTGGGGCTGGGGCTTCTGTATCCCTTGGCTGCCGATTCTAGCTCCAGTTTCACACAGTGTGTCTTCTCCCCTGTTGTCTGTAGCTTTTTTTGTTTGTTTGTTTGTTTGTTTTTTGTTTTTGTTTTTCGAGACAGGGTTTCTCTGTGTAGCTTTGGAGCCTATCCTGGCACTCGCTCTGTAGACCAGGCTGGCCTCGAACTCACAGAGATCCTCCTGCCCCTGCCTCCTGAGTGCTGGGATTAAAGGCGTGCGCCACCAACGCCCGGCTCTTCTTCCTTTTAAATACTTGTTTTTATTTAATTTGTGTGGGCGTTTTGCCTTCATGTATGTAATAGTATCGCATGCATCCAGTGCCCTCCAAGGCCAAAAAGGGCATCAGAGCCCTCGTGAGCTTCCATGAGGGTGCTGGGAGACAACTCTGGGTCCTATGGAAGAGCAGCCAGTGCTCCCAACCAGAGTCATCTCTGCCGCCTGTGCTTTCATTTTATTGCTTAAATTTTTTTCTTTATTTTTCACATGTGTGTTTTCACCTGTATATGGGTGTGTAAATATGTGTCTGTATGTTCACCTGTATATGGGTGTGTAAATATGTGTCTGTGTTTTCACATGTGTATGGTGTATAAATGTGTGTGTGTTTGCACATGTATGGATGTATAAGTGTGTGTGTTTTCATGTGTGTACGGGTTTATAAATGTCTGTTTTCACATGTGTATGGTGTATAAGTGTGTGTGTGTTCACATGTGTATGGTGTATAAATGTGTGTGTGTACACATATGTATTGGTGTATAAGTGTGTGTGTGTTCACATGTGTATTGGTGTATAAGTGTATGTGTGCTCGCATGTATTTGGTGTATAAATGTGTGTGTGTTCACATGTATTTGGTGTATAAGTGTGTTCGTGTTCACATGTGTATGGTGTATAAGTGTGTGTGTGTGTGTTCACATGTGTATGGTGTATAAGTGTGTGTGTGTGTGTTCACATGTGTATTGGTGTATAAGTGTGTGTGTGTTCACATGTGTATTGGTGTATAAGTGTGTGTGTTCACATGTATTTGGTGTGTAAGTGTGTGTGTGTTCACATGTGTATTGGTGTGTAAGTGTGTGTGCATGTGGAGGCCTGAGGAAGTATCACCGTTGTTTACCTTACTTCCTGGGACTGAGTTTGTCAGTCAAACCTAGAGCATGCTGACACGGCTGGTCTTGTGAACCAGCTGACTCTGGAGATCCCGTTTCTGCCTTCTGTGGCTGGAATTCCAGGCAGGCTCTCACTCACCTGGCAGTTATGTGGGTTTCTGGGATCCAAACTGGGATCCAGACTCTTGTGTGGCAAGCAGTTTAACTGCTGTGCCATCTCCCCAGCGATGTCTCTTTTAAATTAAAACTCATTTTGACTTTCTGAGACAGGGTCTTGCTATAGCTCAGGTTAGCCTGGAACTCATTAGGTAGCCCAGACTGTCCTGAATTCCCAATTTTCCTGCCTCTGCCTGTCTGGTGCTGGATTGCAGAAGTGAGTCAATGCTCTTGGCTTCACTGAGAAGGGCCTACCTGAGATAATGTCCTCCTGCGATCCTTAACTTACATTTGGTCACATTGACAGCTTCCTGCTGACATGTCACGGGTGGGAATTCGAGCCCTGCAGGAGGTAGTCCTGGGTTCATGTTCCTACTGACGCTGTTAGAAGAGCCCTAAGAGGGGTGTCCTATCTTCAGGCTCCTCCCCAAGCTGTCTCTGTGTGCTCCATAGGACAGACACAAGATTCTAAAGCAAGAAGCCAGCTTGGGGCAGTAGCAGCTGCCTGCAGTTCTAAGGGATGAGATGTCCCTGGAAGCCACGTGACCAGCTCAAGTACAAGAGCTGTGTGGTGTTGAGCAGAGGCGGGCTTGCAGAAACCACAAAAGGGGTTTCAGGGTCAGAAAGTACAGAGCCCGGGGTGAATGGACACATGGACTTGAGCCTTCTCCCTCCTTCCCCTCTTCAGGGGTAGGGCTGGTGCTCCAGGAGCTGCAAAGTGCCGGTGTACTGAGTGATACCCTCATCATTTTCACATCCGACAACGGGATCCCCTTCCCCAGCGGCAGGACCAACCTGTACTGGCCTGGTACAGCAGAACCCTTGTTGGTGTCATCCCCAGAGCACCCACAACGTTGGGGCCAGGTCAGCGAGGCCTACGTGAGCCTTCTAGGTATGGCTGTCTGTCTGTCTATCTCATGGGAGGGGATAGGTGAAGCCAACCTCCAATGGGACTGCCATGGGTCAGATGCTGGAGTGCTCCCCTGACCTAGGTAGTGTTCCTCCACCTGGGCAGGAACAAGACAGCCTCCTCTATTACGTGATGAGAAGCAGACACCTGGGAGGCCGGTTCCTGTCATGTCATGAGCCCCGAGTGACTGGTGGGGTCCCAGGTGGTACTAATGGGCTGTGGGCTACCCACTGGAAAACCAGTGTGACATCTCCATTTTTCTCAGAACCCAGAGCCGCTTATGAGTCAGCTCTGAGGGCCTGGTTATCTGGCCCCACTCCATGAATGGGCAAACATGACTGCAGGTGTGGTTAGGCCAGCCCCGGCAGAAGCTTTCTGTGCCCAGCCCTTTGCTTGGAAAGCCTTCTCAGGGTTATAAGATAGGCTCCCTCCAGCTTATACCTACCTCTGCATGTGGCCCCAAGCCATGGGTGAGGGAACCATGTGACCAACCCAGAGTGCCTAGATGAGCACTCCCTACCCAGGGTCCTTCTGGTCCTTAGGATTAGACAGTCGCTAGATCTCAAACAGGCCAGGGCCTCTGGTCACACCACTCCACAGGCCGGAGGTGACCAATGACGAGAGGTACGGCCCAAAGTAGTCCCTCCCCATTGGTGATCTGATCCTACCGGGTGCCCGTGGGATTTCCGGAAACCCTGAGGCTCACCTTCTTGCTGAAGGGCTCCGTGTCCCTGAGGGACCCCTGCTAAGGGCTCTTCCTTTGCAGACCTCACCCCAACCATCCTGGACTGGTTCTCCATTTCATATCCCAGCTATGCCATCTTTGGCTCAAAGACTATCCAGCTCACAGGCCGATCCCTGCTGCCAGCGCTGGAGGCAGAGCCCCTGTGGGCCACTGTCTTCGGCAGCCAGAGCCACCACGAGGTCACCATGTCCTACCCCATGCGCTCCGTCTACCACCACAACTTCCGTCTCATTCACAATCTCAGCTTCAAGATGCCTTTCCCCATCGACCAAGACTTCTATGTGTCGCCGACCTTCCAGGACCTCCTGAACAGAACCACAGCCGGCCAGCCCACGGGCTGGTACAAGGATCTCCACCATTACTACTACCGGGAACGCTGGGAACTCTACGATGTCAGCCGGGACCCTCGAGAGACACAGAACCTGGCCACGGATCCACTATTCTCACAAGTACTGGAGGCGCTGAAAGCCCAGCTGGCCAAGTGGCAGTGGGAAACACATGACCCCTGGGTGTGCGCCCCTGACGGGGTCCTGGAGGAAAAGCTCAGCCCGCAGTGCCGACCCCTTCACAATGAGCTCTGACAGTCCCTGGGGCACCTGCCAGCCTTCCTCTACTCAGACACAAAGGGAGAGAAAACAACAGCCCCACCCTCCGCACACCCGCCCGAGGAGAGCCCCTCTGTAGTGCGGGATGCCACTCCTGCCTCTGGGGAGGACACTCAGGCATGCACTCCCCCATGTTGTCACTGCTTCAGGAGCTGCTGTCCTCGCATTTGGAATGCTATTGTCCTCATGTCTATGTGAACTGACCCAGGAGTTCTAGGGGAACCTTGGGCAGGGCAGAATTCCAAATTTGACCTGCAGGTGGAGGGGTGAGGTCTCGGGGTTTGAAGCCCTCTGGTTTCTGGAACCCGGGAATGTTTTTAAGCCCTTCATTCCAAGAGGAACCTGGTGCGTCTGTGTGCCATGTGGGCGGCGGGTGGACCACATTGACTACTTTAACCAACCTTGGTGTGGAGGAAGCCTTTAGGAGGCCCTGGGCTGGCTTTTGCCTTCATTTTACCCTGGTCAAGTACACGCTTGGCCAGAAAATCTCCCTGGTTCTCAGAGGTGATGGTTTTGATCCTGTGGTCTTTCTGGGCTCAGCTTGTCCTGTCCTCACATGAGTGACTGAGGGACAGGTGTGACAGTGCTACCTTCTTGCCCTTCATTCTCTCTAAGTGACACCAAGCTTCTGGCCCCACCTTTTCCCTTCCCTGCTTGCCAAGGGTAAGAAGCACAGCCTGCAAACCTAGAAGGAGAGGGCCTGTCCCCACCACCCACTATCAACTCCATCCTGGGAGGCAGGGAAAGTCATGGGCCCTAGCATCAGGAAAACTGGGGTTTTTGTTGTTGTTGTTTTTGAGACAGGGTTTCTCTGTAGCTTTGGAGCCTGTCCTGTAACTCACTCTATAGACCAGGCTGGTCTCGAACTCACAGAGATCCACCCGTCTCTGCCTCCTGAGTGCTGGGGTTAAAGGTGTGTATCACCACTGCCCGGTGTATAGGGAAAGCTTTGTACATTAGTAAACAGAACTTCATAGTAGCATACTAGATTTTAGTCATTGACAGTCAAATACCCCGCCCAAATAACTGATTTATAGTGAGGGGGCAGCTCATCCATCGGGGTGTCACCCACCCCAAGAAGGAGCAGAGGGCAATGTCAGTTTGAGAGTCAGTTCTTCCATCAGGAAGAGTCCATTGGCTCTGCCCAGGACATGCACCAAAGCAACCTGGTATTTGGGGCTGGGCACTGGGCCGTGAGTCAGCCACTCAAGTCTGTGTTTGCAGGTGTTGGTGGCAGCACTTGGCTGTTAGCAGTTGTGACATGGCTCAGTTAGAGCCATGCCCTCAGTGCCCAGAGTCTGTGCCCTTGCCCTGCATGGGGATGACTGCTCCAGTGAGCTTGCCAGAAGCTCACTGCTTTGACTTCGGAAATGTAAAAGGAGGGATAGTCCCCAGGAAGCCATTCATAGGAGGTTGGGGCACCGGCCCCAGCAGGTCTCAGAAGAACCCCCACCTGGCAGAATGTCCTCCAATCCTCCATCAGTCCAGGCCATACTGTGTGATTGTGGTGTTGTCATTTACACCTTGACTGCTGTGAGCACATGCCGGTCAAACCCAGGCCAGGGAAGGAAGCAGGCTTGTTTGCTGACAACACTGACAGCAGAGTGGAGGTCACAGTCCCCAGCCAGGTCTGGGCCTCAGCAGGGGCTCTCTTCTGTCCATACCACTTTCTTCTGCTCATCTGCAATGGCCAGGCGCACGCAGCTGAGCAGACTGTCCGGGTCACTCCAGCTGTCAGAGGCTAGGCTGCTGTACAGACAGGGCACTCTGTCCAGTTCCCCCTCCTCCTGCCGGGCCGCCTCAAGGAACTGCTCCTCCGATGTGCCGAGCCGCTGCAGGCCCTTCCTGCAAAGCAGAGACTGTCAGCCCTAGGACAGCACTGGAAGCCAGGAGAGAACACAGTGGGGCTTTCCATACAGAGCACTGTAGGGGGCCAGGCCAGACTTTGTAGAGAGGACTCAGCATGCATGGAAAATGCCCTTGGGCACAAGCCTGGAAGTCCTACCCAGGGAAGCTCAGAGAGAAGCCAGGACTGGGCTGCAGGTGGCATCCACTGATGGGGTGCAGAGCACATCCCACTTCCCAAAGGATGCAGACGGCAGGGCATGTTCCAGCCAGATACTGAGGGGTGGCGTGGGATCAGCACAAATCGGGCTTCGTGAGCCTCGGGCTCTGTGTGGCTTTAGTCTAGCTGGGGCAGGCCTCAAGCTGTGTTCTGAGGCTGAGGGCACACAACTGTGGGCTGGGACAGAAAGAGCTCCAGCGTGCTCCAGAGACATATGCCAAGCTTTCCCAAGCTCAGGCGCCTGTGTAGACCCTTCTGTTTAGCTCCCCTGCCCAGCCCTCAACAAGCACCTACCTGAGTTTCTTTGCCATCTTCTCATTGACGGAAACGTGGATGATGATAGGGAAAATGTCCATTCTGTGCAGGGCGCGGACACTGTCCAGCCGGACGTCCAGCAGGGCGTGGGTGCTCTGGGAGCGGCATAGGGAAGCAAGTTAAGCTCACAGGTCTGGGAGGAAGTGAGACTAGCCCTGCGCAGCAGACTGCAGGACTGCGTAGAAGAGACCTGATTAGAGGAGACGGGTTTGGCACGTACCAGGGTGATGATGCCCATTTGATTCGGCCCTGGACGATCTGGAATTGCCTTTGGCACTGAGAGAGATTTTGTGTGGAGTGCAAACCTTAAGAATTAATTATACAGTGCGGGGCTGGGGAGAGGGCTCAGCCATTAAGAGCACTGGCTGCTCTGCCAGAAGACCAGGGTTCAATTCCCAGCACCCACATGGTCCCCTCACTCCTGTCTGTAATTCCAGTTCCAGGGGATCTGACAGGCACTCGTGCAAAACTCCAATGCACATTTAAAAAAACAAATCAGAACCAGACGTTGGTGGTGCACGCCTTTAATCTCAACATTCAGAAGGCAGAGGCAGTCGGATCTCTGTGAGTTCGAGGCCAGCCTGGTCTCCAGAGTGAATTCCAGGACAGGCTCCAAAACAATACAGAGAAAACCTGTCTCAAGAAACAAAAGAAAAAAACAAACAAACAAAAAAATCAGACAATGTCAGCAGTCACTCTCCATGGTGTGTGTGTGTGTGTGTGTGTGTCTGTCTGTCTGTCTGTCTGTCTGTCTGTCTGTTGTCCCTGCTCCTTGTATAAGTACGAGACTTGATAGTTCATTGTGAGCTGTGAAATGTGACAGCATTAATTTCTTCATTTATTTCATTTATTAACAAACATCTATTAAACATCCCAAATTAAGGGAACTGAGGCAAAGGCCGGCCCAAGGGCGGTCCAGCATAGCATCCTCAATGGATGATGGGAACAGGGCTGGGTCTCCTGTAGGGCATGGAGATGGGAATCCAGGGTCCCACAAGTGAATCCCCAGATTCCTCCCCCAGAGTAGCCTCTTAACCCTTCCCCTACCGTGTTCATGAGGGACTCCACAGCGTGCCGAGTGACCCAGTGGTGGTCACCCATTGACTCTCCCTCCTGGATGATATCCCCTCTCTGGTTCCAGGTGATATACTCCTCTTGGCTCAGGTACTCTGGCAGTGACATTGGATGAGGAGGTCACACACTGGATCCTGAGGGAGCCAGCCAAGCATCCCACTCTGGATCCCGAGGGAGCCCGCTAAGCATCCCACACTGGATCCCGAGGGAGCCCGCTAAGCATCCCACACTGCATCCTGAGGGAGCCCACTAAGCATCCTACACTGGATCCCGAGGGAGCCAGCCAAGCATCCCACACTGGATCCCGAGGGAGCCGGCCAAGCATCCCACACTGGATCCCGAGGGAGCCGGCCAAGCATCCCACACTGGATCCCGAGGGAGCCGGCCAAGCATCCCACACTGGATCCCGAGGGAGCCGGCCAAGCATCCCACACTGGATCCCGAGGGAGCCGGCCAAGCATCCCACACTGGATCCCGAGGGAGCCGGCCAAGCATCCCACACTGGATCCCGAGGGAGCCCGCTAAGCATCCCACACTGGAGGTCTCCCACCACATTCAGGAGAAGCTTCCCACAGTGGCCACGAGGACACCTACCCCACTTTCCACCACAAGCCCTGAGCCATGAGTGTGGCATGTGCAGCCAGACACTGGGGCAGGTAGGGTTGGGGGAAGATAGATGGAGGGATGGAACCATAGATAGGCAGACAGACAGATGGACAATGCCCAACATCACTTCCCATGCTCCAGACTTGTAATTGGATCCAATTCTAACACTGAGGGTTCCTACCAGTCAGTTCTACCCAACAGGGTCCTGGCCCCAGGGGATACTGGGCAGTGTTTGGGGCAATTTTCCATTGTGTGTGTGTTGTCAAACATCCTACATTGCTCAGGACAGCTACACAATGGAGAATGGTACCCTCGGGTGGCCTAGTGCTGAGGCTGAGCACCCATCCGGAACCTCCTGAGCAGCTGTCATGGCCCCAGCTTCATCAGAAGGGCCCTTGCCCTCTTCCCAGCCTGTGTCTGTCTGTCAAGGCACCCCAGCTGCCCAGCGTACACATCTCAGGAGTCCCTCCCCCACCACCACTGCAGCATTGCTGGGAACCCTGGGCCCCCAAGTTCCAGTAGTTGACCACACCCCCAACCCCTGGCCAGGCCTTTTTTAGCCATTTTCCATTCTGCTCTCAAGAAAGGTGGCCAAAGACCAAGCGTCAGTGAGCCTTCGCTCTTGTCAGGCTTTTTATAGAACTGGACATCTGGCCTCCACTCCCCTTGGCCACCAGAGCAGTGCCTCCAACCCAGTGTTCTGTGTGTCTTCCTGCCTGAGTACACACTGGCTAGCCAGCTACTGGCTGGCCCCTCATCTTAGCCTTTGTGATGTGCTCTCATGTTCTCTCTCTCTCTCTCTCTCTCTCTCTCTCTCTCTCTCTCCCACATACCACCTCCCTCTCTCTCCATCTCCTATCCTCTCTGGGCATGTGCAGAGCCCACAGCCTGTGTCTCTTCATCCCACTGCTCTACACCAGCTGCACCCAGGTGACCATTTCTAGAGGAACTCATGGGCTTCTAGGACTCAGTTTCCCCATTTTTCCATGGAGGTTGGCCAAGGGAGGAGCTCAGTGGAGGAGCCTCATGGATGGAGGCTGCTTTCCTCTCTCCTCTGGAAGTCAAGAGGGTAGGATGGACCCTGTCACCCCACACAGTGACCCACCCCAGTCAATCAGCCTTTCCTGAGCCCATGGCCCCAGGATTAGAAAGCTCCTCCATGAAGCTAGCTGCCTGGTGGCTGGTAGGGAGTTGACAGAATCCTCCAGCCACACTAACCCTGTTGTGTACATCCTGTTTTCAATAATGACTCACCCCACTAATGTCCATCAGAGCCCCCAAATGGACTGACTTTCTTTGGAAATAAGGTTTTTATATGAGACAATGCTGGCTTTCAATGGACTTTAAGAAGGCCATGTGTAGACACAGACACATAGAAGGAAAAAGAACAGCAATGACCACAGCCAAGAGGGGAGTGAGGACCTTCTGCATCCCCAAGGTGCTGGGAGAGCCAGGAAGGACCCACACCTGCAGCTCCCAAAGAGAGCAGGGCTCTGCTGAGCCCCCAAGGCCAGACATCCAGGGAACTGTGAGACAACCATCACCCTTCAATGTCCCAGTTTGTGGCCCTCTGTTATGATACCGTGGAACTTATGGTTGCCTGCTCACGGCTGCCCTGGGATATCCAGCCTCTGGCCGTTTGACAGAGGTGTGTACATACCTGCTGGACACTGCTTAAAGCCTTGGAGGAGGCAGAGTTTTTTATTCAGAATCTTCCCGACTGCTCTGGGCACGAAAAGCACAGGCCGGGGCCGGGCAGGCCTGTGGGGGTGCACCAGGGTGTACGGGGCCAGAGTGAAGAAGCTCTCTGCCCAGAAGCACGCGCTGGAGCCACCTGTGGAGGAGAGGCTATGAGCACCTGTGTCCCTGCGCCCTCTTTCCAGGGAGGGACTGACATAGGACCTTCTCAGTCACCTGCAGTGCCGCTAAGCTAATTGTGCAGGCTGGCACAGTTGGCTAAGAGCTCGCAGCAATTCGGGGTGAGCCTCTGAGGGTAGGAAGAGCCTGGTTCTTCCAGAAGGAAGGTGTGTGTGTGTGTGTGTGTGTGTGTGTGTGTGTGTGTGTGTGTACTAATGCTTACAGAGGTCTCTGGATCCCACGGAACTGGAGTTACAGATAGATGGTTGTAAACTGTCTAATTTGGGTGTTGGGAACCAAACCAGGGTCCTCTACAAGTGCAGTCCGTGTCCTTAACAAGAAAGCCATGGCTTTCGTCTCAGGCTTCACCTTGTACCATGCACCCACACTCTCTTGGATGATTTGTCTTCTCCCAGATGCACTTCTGATCAACTTCCCGTGCAGTGTGACCCGTGGGCCTGTACCAGCCACACCTCTAGCATGACCTTGCACACGCACTGGTCACCCTGTAACCTCCCCTGGTATAACACTGGGCGTCTGGTGTTTTTACTGTTCCAAACAGACTCGGGCACATATGTGCTAGTAGCTATTGTGTAGTTTCAGTGGGTCAGGTCTCAGAGGGGGACCTGGCCACTTAAAGGGCATCAAATATATTGCTTAGTTGCTGTCCAGAAAGACAGTTATGATCCGTAAAAGCAGCCTGGGGTGGGGTGGGGGAGGATGCTGGAGAGATGGTTCAGTTGTTAAGAGCACTGGCTGCTCCTCCAGTGAGTTCAGTTCCAATTACCCCTATGGTGACTCACAACTGCCTGTAACTCAAGTCCCAAGGGAATCTTGCGCCCTCTTCTGGCCCCCAGGGGTACTGTATGACATCTATACACAAGAATAAACAAACAAATAAAAAGCCCACCGCCTTGATTGTACATGCCCACATGGTTGTGATGCCAACTTGCCAGGCCTCACCTTCCTCCCTGCCAGAAGCCAGCTGGCCTTGGTCTAAAGACGAAGACAGAGGACTGCGGCTGGCTTTGTCCACACTGACAATTCGCACTAACTTCTGTGGCCCTCCAGAAGGCTGTCACAGGGGAGACAGGAAAGGGACAAGGCTCAGCCATCAACACGGGGCTTGGGGGCTGGCACCCCCACCCCTACTTTGGCACCCTGCCCCATAAGCAAACCCAGAACAGCTTTCTGAGCAATCAGGCTGTGCCATGGAGCGACCAGGCTTCCCAAGCCCCACACCAGGGGGTGGGAGACAGGGGAGGGGCCTCAGGCAACAGGGCTCTGCAGGAAGGGCTGGGGTGCAAAAGGCAGAGAGAAGAGCAGGCCCCCTCCTAACTTAGCAGTGCCGGGCTCCAGGCAGGAATATCCTAGCACCTTGCTCAGGGACAGATGAGTGCTCAAAGTGAAAGGTGTTCTGTGTCCCAAGAGCACAAGGTGCCCGACCTCAGAGGAAACAAGATCGGGGCGGTGAGTCGGTGGCAGGGGACCAGGAGAGAGAGGAAGACCAGGAGACACTTTGAGGGCGGAGCCTGGTGTGTTCGCATGGCCCATTGAGAGGACATGCAGGCCTTTGAGGGCTTAGTGGGGCACACAGAGTCCAGACACCGCCCCACTCAGCTCAGTGGTCCACACTTCCCACAGGATTCCACAGGATTCCACTGCCTCCCAGCCCACCCCAGGGGGGCATACTCTGCAATTAGCCTCACCTTGCGGGGAACCGTGCACTGTTGAGTCATGTCCTGGATGAGGGCCAGGAGCTGCTGCTGAGCCCTGGGCAAGTGAAGGAAAAGAGGCTCTGACAGCCTGACTGGGAAGCCTCAAGGCTGAGAGCGACACACAGGCTGGGGACAGGAGTGCCGGGCCTTTGAAAGTATTTTCCAAGCCTCAATCAGGCCAGGCCAGGCTAACTTAGTTGTCCCACACTGGTCTCAGTGGGGCTAACGTGCAGCCAGTGTGTATATCAGAGTGGGTATAACCACCGCCAGGTGCCTAGAAGTTAACCTTCCCTCCACTCTCTTCCTGGGTAGATGCTCTGCTATAGAGCAGGGGAAATTCTGGAAGGTTTGTGCTTCCTCCTAGGCAGGAGGGACCTCAACACAGAGCTGGGACAGGCAGGAGTTATCCTTGGAACTTCTGTGGGGACATGAGGGCCAGGGCAGCTACTCACTTTGAGTAGTTGGGGATGGTGCCGGGCTCCATGTCTTTCAGGGTGTAGGGGTTCACGTGATGGGCGTGCCAGCAGCTCCGGCCTTGGAACATGGTGTCAGTGACATGGAGGATATCGTTGCAGTGTGCATGCAGCTCTCCCACTCCCTTTCTCTGAATGGCCAGGTTGACCCGGATGTAGAAGGAATCCCCAGAGGTCACCACTTTGGCATCTAGGTCCTGGATTAGGTTCTTATAACCTGATAAAAGACATCGATGATGATGTCCAGACTATGGGACTTAGGAGAGGAAGGTTCCAGAATGTGAAAGGAGGGGGAGTCATGGGAGCCACTGTGGTGTTGGCCCAGTAGGATGAAGGGAAGTTTCCCGCTCTTTGGACTGTGGGGGACTCAGGGTGAGCCTGGCTGAACTGCCTTGGCTCTTGGTAGGCATGGGCTCTGGAGGTGCGGCAGAGACAAAGGGCTAAGGGTCACAGGAGGGGACTGGAGAGCTGAGCAAGTGTGGGGTGGTGCCCATACCTTCGGTGTTGACCTTCACAGACAGGTAGCAGGAGCCATTCACCCTCCTGAGAAGACACACAGCCTGCTCCAGCGTCGTGTTCTCCAGAGTGGCCCTTAACGATGGCTGTGTCGGCTTATAATCCACCTGAGGGCAAAGCGCGAAGGTGGGTCTCACCAAGATGGTATGGCAGCTGACATGGGGTGGGAGTGGGAGCCTACAGAGGACCTCTTGGCCCCCCTCAGCTGCCCACTCACCTTGGCCTATCCTGGCCTCTCAGAATCCCTTGTCATGAGCTGTGTGTGTGGATAGTGTTGTTACAGCATCAGGCTGCACCCGTGTGCATCATACACACTCCTGGCCTGAAGAGTCGTCCGTCGACCCACCCCTAATCTTTCCACTGTTGAGGATAGTTAGTCTCCTTGCCATCACCCCCTTTCTGCTGTTGAAAATTGACCTCAGGGCGATCCAGAACGTTCTGGATCATTCTAGATCAGGGTTCTGTATGTTTGGGCCCCAACTATTCTGTGTCATGGGGCTGTTGAGTGGCATTGCAGATCCTCACCCTCTATTTCCAGAGTGCCCCACCCATACCTGCCATCTGTGAAGCCCTGCCTGGTGGGGCTTCCACAATGCCTCCCTCGTTCATATGGTTAAGTCTAGGGAGATATGTGTTTCTGTGTTACCACCTGTGTGTACCATGACACATTTTAGGACTGGCACTCCCTAGTACCCCGGGATGATGTGTCGTCTCTCAGATATCAGTTTTGTTTTATTTTTGTTTTTTTGAGACAGGGTTTTTCTGTGTAGCTTTGGAGGCTGTTCTGGAACTCACTCAGTAGACCAGGCTGGCCCAGAACTCAGAGACATCCACCTGCCTCTGCCTCCTGAGTGCTGGGATTAAAGGTGTGCACCACCAATGCCCGGCTTTCTCACATCTTAGGACTGTCACTTCGGAGTCACAGAGGACCTCTGCAGTGTGAATGGCTCCTCAGCTGACAGTTGTCAGTTTTAGGACTACAGTGTCATAGAGCTCCTCGTCTCTGTGTGTAAGGGAACAGGGGATGACCTTGTACGAGGAGTGTGTGGACTCCTCGAGAATGAGGGGCTCTTGCTTCATGTGGATGCCCAGTTCTGAGAAGGATGCCCACTCCTGCCTTCTCTCACTGGGGCCCACAGGTGAGCCCCAGGGATGGGGTGAAACCCATCTGGCACGTTTCCTGATATTTTTTTAAGCGCTTAAAGATGGGGGTTGGAAATTTGGATCAGTGGTTAAAGGCACTGGTTGCTCTTCCAGAGGACCCAGGTTCAGTTCCCAGCACCCACATGGCAGCTCACAACTGTCTGTGACTCCAGCTCAAGGGGATCCAATGTCGAGTTCTGGCCTCGGCAGGCACCTGCACTTGTGTGCGCACACCCCCTCACATGTACAAGTGATTAAAAATAAAGGCAGGCACTGGAGAGATGACTCGGTGCTTAAGAGCACTGGATGCTCTTCCAAAGGACTAGGGTTCAGTTCCCAGCACCCACAGGTAGCTCACAACTATCTGTGACTCCAGTTCCAAGGCACCCAATGCCTTCTTCTGCCTCCATGGGATCAGGCACACATGTCATACATGCCAGTAAAACACCCATATACACAATAAAACATTTTTAATGTAAAAAAACATTTAAAAGTCTTCAAGTTGAACAATTCTGCTTTGGGGGCTGAGGAGACAACTCAGTGTGTAAAGACATTTGCCGTGCAAGGCTGATGGCCAGAGTCCAACCCCTGGAGTCTGTAATGTCAGAGCTCTTACAATGAGATGTGAGGTGGGGAAAGGGGAATGACGGGGGTGGGGGGGGTTAGAAAGCCATGCACCAGAGAGCCTGGAGTAGATGCTGCAAGAAGCAAAAAGAAGATGGCAGAGTCAGGTGAGGAAGTGGTGCATGCCTTTAATTCCAGCACTTGCAAGCAGGTCTCTGTGAGTTCGAGGCCAGTCTGGTCTACACAGTGAGTTCCAGCATAGTCAGGGCTACACAGTGAGACCCTGTCTCAAACACACACACACACACACACACACACACACACACACACACACGACTCAACAAGAAGGAGGAGATGAGAGACCCTAGGTATGGCTCCATGGCTCAGCAGGTAAAGCTATTCATCATCTAAAACTGAAACCAGAATTCAATCCCTGGGACCCACATGGTGGAAGGAGAGAACCGATTCCAACAAGGCTGTCCTTTGACCTCCACATGCTCTATGTCAGTCAGTCAGTCAGTCAGTAAGTAAATAAATAAATGTACGTGTTTCGTTTGTCTGAGACAGAGTCTCAAGTCTGTAGACCAGGCTGGCCTCCAATTCACAGAGATCCACCCGCGTTTGCCTTCTAAATGCTGCGATTAAAGGCGTGTGCCACCACATCCAGCTAAATAACTATCCTTTTGGAAAGAGAAGGCCTGCCTCAAAGCAAGGTGGAAGAAGAGAGCGTGACTCCCAAAGTTGTTCTCTGACTGCCGTGTGTGTTCTGTGCATTGGCGCAGTCACACTCATGCATACATCATACACAAGCACCATACATGCATACACGCATGCACAAAATACACACATAACTGAAGAAAAGTGTGCTGTTAGGACTGCTTCAAAATCCCTCCCCACTACACCCAGGCATTCACATGATAAGAATGATTTAAGCTTTACATTTATATGTATATTTGTGCTCTGTCCAGATTTGGACATTTTGCAATGAGACTCAATAGTTAATTTATTATGGATACAGTCTTCTGTCTGCATGCCAGCAGAGGGCACCAGATCTCATTCAAGGTGGTTGTGAGCCACCATGTGGTTGCCGGGAATTGAACTCAGGGCATATGGAAGAACAGTCAGTGCTCTTAACCGCTGAGCCATCTCTCCAGCCCCCGAGACTCAATAGTTAAAATGGTGACTTTTATATCAAGTGCATTTCTGCACATATACAAAGTGACAATAAGATCATCATAGTAAAACACACACACACACACACACACACACACACACACGAGAGAGAGAGAGAGAGAGAGAGAGAGAGAGAGAGAGAGAGAATCAAACCCTATCCTGTTGGAAAGGCTTTCTCAAGCCTGGCCCATGTTGGTGTAAGGCTCAGGGCTAGATCACTTGTGTGACAGGTACAAGGCCCTGGATTTCACCTCCAGAACAACACCAATGTAGTGATTGTACTCTAACAAAGCTTGCCTGAAGATCAGAGGGAGGAGCCAGCCACTAGTTAACCATAGAAGTCTGGATGTCTTCACAGACAGAGAGGAAGTTATATAGCTGGACGGAGGAGACAGGCGCTCAGTCTCTTTTTGGCTGATCTTTCAGCATTTTCCCCTATATCTGACTACAGGTTTTTTTTGTTTGTTGGTTTGGTTTAGTTTTTTGAGACACGGTTTCTCTCTGTAGCCTTGGCAGTTGTCCTGGAACTCACCCTGTAGACCATGCTAGCCTTGAACTCACAGACATCTGCTTGTCTCTGTCTCCTGAGTGCTGGGATTAAAGGTGTGCACCACCATATCCCAGCTTCTGACTCCAGGCTTTTATATCAAAGCCTATTAGAACTTGTGCTACACACAAAGGTCCCTGCTCAGAGCCAATGCAGTCCAGTGGCCTTCTCTGAGTTTCCAGGCTCTGGAGGCTCTGGACTGCCGGGCTTGCGAATGGGTTGGATTTCCTTCCATGACCCTTGTAACAGATGTGGGCAGCACTTTCCGTCAGTCCAGAACAGAACTGAGACCCTGTCAGAGCCAGACCGTTGTCTCCCGCCAAACACCCCTACCCTGGCCCAGAAGCCCGGCACTGGCACCGCCTCCCACTCCTGCTCACCATCATGATCTGGGTGCCGGGACGCAAGGCCATCTCATCGGCTGCAGAGCCCGGGGTGACACGGTGAATGAAGATGCCAGTGAGGTTCCCGCCAATGACACCTATCTGCTCCAGCAAAGCGTCCCCTTGGAATGCCAGCACTGTGACCTGACTCAGGATCTTTCGCGCTGGCCTCCGCCTCACAGGGGCACTGCTGTGGGGAGACAGACACAACCTGAGCACAGGGGTCAGAAGAGCCCTGGGTTCTAGAATTTTCTGCTCTGACTCAACCTCTTGAGAATGCTGTGACCTCCCCATGGTGAGAGGGCACAGTCACACTCTGCTCTGTCATTTCCAGGCTCTGTTTCTCCAGTCAGTGGGGGTGTCCCCAGCCTCAGCTCACCTTTCTGAGACATTTGGGCTCCGTGAAAACTCCTGCAGGCTGTCCTCTGACTGGGAGAGGTCTGGAAGGAAATGGGATGCTTGGCAGACAGAGCCTAAGGTCACCAGCTCCTTGCCCTGCTCCCTAGGCGGCCTCAGTCCCCCTCCCCCACAGCCTGGCTCAGTCCCCTGCTGTGTCCCTCTCAGTCCTTTGTGTTTAGCTCTTTGATTTTATCTTTCCTAACATCAGAGGAACTAGTGAGAGTTACACCATCTTCTGCAACCCCTGAACTCGTCACCCAGCATCTTAAGACAAACAGATTCTAACATCTAGATTTCTGAATTTGATGAAGGATGAAATCTGAGGGCTGGAGAGATGGCTCAGAGGTTATGAGCCTGTATAGAGGACCAGGATTCAGCTCCCCACAGCCACACAAGGGCTCACAACTGCCTTTACCTCTGGCTCCAGGGGGTCCACACCCTCTTCTGGGCTCTGTGGGCACCAGACATGCATGTGGTACACAGACATGCATGCAGGCAAAATACCTCCGACATACAAAATAAAATAAATCTAAAAAAGGGCATCTCAAATCCGGCACAGCCCTGGTCTGCTCCTTGCCAGCAACTCGTTGGCTGTGGATGGCCTGTGAAGTCTCACACATTAGATGTCCCTGGGGCTCCCCAAGCTCTAGCATGTTAAAAATGAATTAATTTGTGTCTGGAGATATGGCTCAGTGGTTAAGAGCACTGACTGATCTTCCAGAGGACCCGGGTTCAATTCCCACCACCTACATGGAAACTCACAACTCCAGTTCTAGGGGACCTGACCCCCTTACACAAATATCAATGCACATAAAATAAAAATAAATAAATAATTAAAAATTTAACTAATTTTAAACAGGATCTCACTCTGTAGCCCTTGAATTCTCAACCCTGCAAAGTTTGGGATTTTATGTGTGTGTGTCTGTATCCAGAGTGCTGTGTGTGTGTGTGTGTGTGTGTGTGTGTGTGTGTGTGTGTGTGTGTGTGTGTTTGTGTTGCTGTCTT